CGGCGGCGGCGGCGGCGGCGCCCTCGTCGTCGTAGTCGTTGAGCTTCGTCGTCGAACTTCGGCGCCAGCGTCGTCGTCGGCGTCGGCGTAGGCGTCGGCGGCGGTATCGGCATCGGTGCCATCGTCGTCGAGTTTCGTCGTCGGCGTCGGCGTCGGCATCGGCATCGGCGGCGGCGGCGGCGGCGGCGTCGACGCCGCCGTCGTCGTCGAGCTTCGTCGTCGAGTCGTCGTCGGCCGTCGGAGTTGGCGGCGGCGGCGGCTGTAGGCGTCCGGCATCGGCGTCGGCGGTCGGGTGGCGTCGCGTCGTTCGTCGGCGTCGGCGGCCCGCGTCAGCGTCGGTGTCGACCGGCGGCGGACGACAGCCGGCGTCTGCGGCGGCGGCGGTGTCGGCGCCATTCGTCGTCGTCGAACTTCGTCGTCCCCCCCCTTCCGTCCGGGCGTTCGACGTTCGGCGCGGCGGCGGCTTCGGCGTCGGCGTCGGCATCGGCGTCGGCGGCGGCTTCGGCGTCGGCGTCGGCGTCGGCGGCCGCGTCGGAGTCGGTGTCGACGGCGGCGGCGGTGGCGACAGCGGCGTCGGCGTCGGCGGCGGCGGCGGCGGCGCCGTCGTCGTCGTCGAGCCTTCGTCGTCGGCGTCGGCGTCGGCGTCGGCGTCGGCGGCGGCGGCGTCGGCGTCGGCATCGGCGTCGGCGGCGGCGGCGTCGGCGGCGGCGGCGTCGTCGGCCGCGTCGGAGTCGGTGTCGACGGCGGCGGCGGCGGCGGCGACAGCAAGTTCAGCGTCCGCGGCGGCGGCGGCGGCGGCGCCGTCGTCGTCGTCGAGCTTCGGCGCCTGCGTCGGCGTCGGCGTCGGCGGCGGCGGCGTCGGCATCGGCACCGCCGTCGGCGGTCGGCGGCGTCGGCGGGGGGGCGTCGGCGGCCGCGTCGGAGTCGGTGTCGAAGGCGGCGGCGGCGACAGCGGCGTCGGCGTCGGCGGCGGCGCCGTCGTCGTCGTCGAGCTTCGGCGCCTGCGTCGGCGTCGGCGTCGGCGGCGGCGGCGTCGGCATCGGCGTCGGCGTCGGCGGCGTCGGCGGGGGGGCGTCGGCGGCCGCGTCGGAGTCGGTGTCGAAGGCGGCGGCGGCGACAGCGGCGTCGGCGTCGGCGGCGGCGGCGGCTTCGTCGGCGCCCTCATCGTCGTCGAGCTTCGTCGTCGGCATCGGCGTCGGCATCGGTGTCGGCCTCGGCGTCGGCGACGTCGGCGTCGGCGTCGGCGGCGGCGGCGACGGCGACGTCATCATCGTCGAGATTCGTCGTCGAGCTTCGGCGTCGGCGTCGGCGTTGTCCGTCGTCGCCCCCCATCCCATCTAGGGGGGGGGCCTGTGAAACCCTGGGGCCCGTCTCCCTTGGGGGGGGGGGGCCGTGAACACTCGACCCGGGATCAGAGCTACGTCCTCCCAACAACGGTGGTGCGCGCAAGGAGGTGGCGCGATGGGGGGGCAGCCCCGCGAGAAGGCGTGGGACCCACTGGAAGGCGGGGACCTCCCGAGAAGGACCCTGAGGCTTCTCTTAGACGGCTCCTCTAAGCAGCCAGGAGGGCTGCTCTCAGAGGCCCCCTGCCTGTTTCGACGCCCCCCCGCCTCCTTCGGAGGCCGCCCCCCCCTTTCCCCACCGCCTCCCCAGACCCCCCACCGTCGTGATTTTTTGAAAACCTCGACCCCCAGAGGTCTGGACCCATTCCCGGGGACCGGTTCTTCAATCTGAGTCGTTTTTGGACGGTCCCGCGGCCCGGGAAGGGCCCCTGGAGGCCGAAAAAAGTAAAAAACAAGAAAACTCCCGCCGTCGTGATTTCTTCACAGCGCGAGGGGGGCCGGGGCCCTGCGCGCCGGCCACTCCGGGCCGGGCCAGGAAGGGGGCACACAGCACCGAGGGGGGGAACTTCCCCCCCCACTCGAGGAGGAGGAGGAGGAGGAGGAGGAGGAGGAGGAGGAGGAGGAGGAGGAGGGCACCCAGCACCGAATCTGGCCCCGGAGGGGCCCGCGCAAGGCCGGAGGCAGGCGCGCAGCCGACGCCTGGCCCAGCCGCTCTCCGCGCGGGCGCCGGTCCCGAGCAGCCCTCGCAGAGGAGGGCTGCGTCGCACGTCGGCTCCCGCGGAGCTGCCTTGGCAGCCAGCGCCGCGCCGTGGGCAGCGCTGCCCTCGCACGGGGCGGCCGGCCACGGCACGTACCACGGCTGGTCCTGCTC